TTTAAAAGAAAACTTTACATATTTTAAATTTATATTACTCATTGAAAATGATCTGTCAAGCTTCACACTAAACATTAATTAAACATCACTATAAATAAGAGTGTAAACCAAGAATTCTCTTAGTTATTGGTAGATATGTTCCAGTGTCATGAAATGAAACGTAAGGCTTAATTTTACATACATTTATTAAATTGTATCATATATTTTGCATTAATAAAACCGTTAAGTATATTGCTAATAAATAGCCAGCATTGTATAAACCATCATTGTAAATATATTATGTACAGCTACACCTTTTTTCTTATGGTTTTACAGCACGTGCACCGAAATTATACATCACAAAAAATACAGGGTGGGACAATGAGAACTATACAGTTTATAAATAACAAAAAATTTTACCCCTATAATGTTTACACTACAGATATAAAAAAAACATCAAAACAATGGTAAACTTATACCATTCTGTCCTGGATAAGCCGTTATTTCATATCTTGAAAACAACATCCCTCAAGTGAAGTCCTTCAAAATGTTGACATTCTTAGGGTTGCTTGAAAAAAGAAAAACCCGCCAAATATGATTTCAAGCATTTCTCGAATCACCTGAACCTCTTTGGTCTTTCTCTGTCTGTGTTTGTGCAGGCATCTTGTATCTTAGGGGTAGAAATGTAGATCTTAATGCAAGATCTCCAAGAGATCTCTTAGGAATTTGAAGTGCCAAGGACTGCTTCTTGGTGGACCTCTTTGGGCTTTGAGTGCCTGCGACTCGTACTCTCTCCACTTTGGCTGGTGTGCGGACAGTTTTATGAGCTCCACCAATCTTTTTTGAGTTGACACCGTTCTTCTAAATAATGATACCCAGTTCTCAATCGTTAACCGTCTCGGAATAGTCCGGTTTCCATCAATATTGAAATGCTTACCGGACAATCTCTGTGTTTTTACAAAAGAATCATGATTCTTTAAAAACATTTCAGGATTCCAAAACGCCATGTTTACTCAAATTGTATGGTTCAATTTTATTTATGAGCACAACTGTTCACTGATTGTTGCAATATTTATCATATGGTAGCTAAAAATAAATGGTATAATCCTCACTGCTCCACCCTGTACAACAAACAAATATCATTAATAGTGCCAAATGACTGTCCAGATTGTCATTAAAAATACTATTACTTAACCTGAATCAACAGTAATACCATTACTATTACCACAATATACAGGGTGAGTTTTAATTGTCCCCCCCCCAACTTTTTTCTACATTTTTTCAAATATCAATCCCAGACCACTTCCTAACATCGTTGGGTAGTAAGTACTTCATTTTGACAAGGTGGTAATTTCCGGCCGCCATCTTGGATCCGCCATATTGGATGCAAATTTTTTTTTCAAATGTAAAGGTGGGGTTGTGACCCATTATTACACTGATTACACCCTGATTACAATGCTGCAAACCGTTTTTAAAAATCTTTATTCATTTTAAAGTTATGAGGGCTTTTTAAAACTTTATTTTTAGCCCATTTTAACATTGTGCATTTACAAACTAAGACCATAATCTCAAAATAGTGCTAGATAAAGATAAGTATACACTACCAGTAATTGTCGATCTATTTTCACTTGGTTATGACTGATGTATTTTTTCGGCCGCCATCTTGGATCCACCATTTTGAAATGTGATAAATTATTTTAAATATGAAGAGGGTGTTGTGACCTATCATTTTGAACTACTTTTTTAAGCTAAACTCAATGCCGCAATCTATTTTTTGTTATCAAGTTTGATTTATGAAATATTGCAATTTTGTTGTTAAAAATGTCAATATTTCAAAATAAAAAAAATGAAAATGAAAAACAGATCATGGAATTAAGTTCAGCTTAAAAAAGTAGTTCGAAATGATGGGTCACAACACCCCCTTCATATTTAAAATAATTTATCATCTTTCAAAATGGCGGATCCAAGATGGCGGCCGAAAAAAATACATCAGTCATAACCAAGTGAAAATAGGTCGACAATTACTGGTAGTGTATACTTATCTTTATCTAGCACTATTTTGAGATTACGGTCTTTGTTTGTACATGCTCAATGTTAAAATGGGCTAAAAATAAAGTTTTAAAAAGCCCTCATAACTTTATAATGAATAAAGATTTTTTAAAACGGTTTGCGGCATTGTAATCAGGGTAAAAATGTAGCTCGGAATAATGGGTCACAACCCCACCTTTACTTTTGAAAAAAAAATTTTGCATCCAATATGGTGGATCCAAGATGGCAGCCGGAAATGACCACCTTGTCAAAATGAAGTACTTACTACCCAACAATGTTTGGAAGTGGTCTGCGATTGATATTTGAAAAAATGTAGAAAAAAGTTGGGGAGAGGACAATTAAAACTCACCCTGTAGTTCCTAATTGTTGTAGGCCTACTAATGCAGATACTAAAGTGAATGTAACAATAGTCTAAGTAATTGGTTTAGTATGTCACTTGTATAGGACGGTTTGCGCAGCAATGTCAACCCAGACAAAGCCACCTACAGACAGCTTGCACTGGCACCCTTATACAAAGCAATCAGGGTGACTATGGGCATTGAACATAGCCAATGCTATAACCATGGCTCTTCAAACTATAAACATGTCTTGTGCAATGTGTTTAGTATACAACTGAATTCTACTTCATATATTGAACTGGTTTGAAATAAACACTTGGTCTACTCGTAAATACTCAATGTTAAACATAAAATGTATTAGGTTAGTTTCATATTTAAAATGTGAATGGTTTTTTTAATTACTGTGATTATTTTAGACTGCCTACCTTTGAAAGGAATTTTTGAACAGATTATTCTAGTCTATTCTTCAATGCATCAATCTTTATTCTTTTTTGCATTCAGATATCCCATATTGAAATAGCTCTAATCTAATGAAAGACAGTGATTAGGTTAACAGATGGATGTATATTCGAATAAATGATTAATGAACAGCTGAATGTACGTATTTAATATAACTCCCATACTTTCTCAACAATTCCACAGGCGTAAGTCATTAAGAAAATAAGAATCACGGATTATAAAAACACAGTTCCTATGGTTTGAGAAATGTATGCAAGTCAAATATTACTTTCCTTGATGGTTTATAACCATCAAAATGATCGGTTTCCTTGAGTTAAATGTGTACTGCATCACCACATTTGATTAAGTACATATTGTAAAATTGAGAAAGTATATCATGGGATTTGTTAATTTTAAGAATTCATATTGATTAAGACATCTATTTTCTTAGTAAAAGGAATAATTAAATAAATTATTGCAATAATATAAAGCATACCAAATAAAAAAATATATTCTCAATTTCCTACAAACAATTTTTGCATATAGCAATCCAACCTACTTTAATACAGTCTTTCTTGAATATTTTTCTCTTTTTATTATTTCTAAAAAGTAACCGTGTACTCTGGCGATGTGCCACTAGACACAGAACAACGTAGTTTTGCCTGGATTGTCTTATGTGGAGATGGCTCAACGCCAGATCTTCAACACTAACCCTCATGCTACTCTAGAGACGTGGATTATTCAGTTTGACATTAAAATTTGATTTAAATTTGACCTTTAATAAACTGTTTGTTTCAACCTCAAACACAGTGATCTGTTACTTAAACTTAAAGGATGGTTATTCTATAGAGGGGCAGGTTTCTTGATGGTGACGTCTGCTGCGGAGATACAGCTTTTTGGCGAATGATTTATCCGAATTTTGGTTGCATATAAATCCGTGGATACTCTGATTCCATGGTTTTTTATTGTAGTTTAAGCCCCTTTGTCTGCTTTAAAATGATCTTGTGGAATGTATTTGGCAAACGTGTTATAATTGACGTTTAAAAATAAATTTGGGTTTTTTATGTACTCTCAAAAATAGGTACAAGTTTAACGTGATATTTATCTATTTATTTATTAAATTCGTTGGATAAATAACAAGCTGGTCCAAGTCAAAATCCAGGGCTAGAGATGTCAAAATCCCACATTATTATGGTTAAATAATACGATAAGAATATGTGTTAAATATGTGCTTCGGAAGAACTACACTGATAATTAAATAAAAATATTTGAAAAAATCTTAAAACGCAGTATTTACTTCAGCAATGATAATAGATATATTAATGAGCACATATATCCGTTGATAAAAAATCTTATAACCTATCCAAAAGTTTTTTATCTATTCTTCTGTTATAATAATAAAATATGTGATTGTTTTACTAATGATTAAAAACAGTTATTTGTCAAATAAAGTGCTATTTCATTCTTTCATACACTAATAAATGCCTTTAGGTTGTCATTAATGTTAATTAATTTAAATAATTAAATGAGTTTTTAAAGAGCAAAATCGCAGTGATATCTTTAAAGAGGTCCAAAGAGTAATACACCACGTGCTGTACAAAGCCAGGGCTCAGAATACATATGAGCTCGGTAAAGACCTACTTTTGTCAAGCATACCTATAAAAATGTTCATCTTGTTTCATATATTGTAGTGCAATGATGTATGCTGATTCATATATTAATAAAGAAAAAGCACTTGTATCATTTTTCGTTATCAAACCAACGATGGAGCTTTATACACTGAATATAATATGTACTATACGCATGATATAAAAAAACTTCCTAAACTCCTATTACAATCGTTTATACATTGAAAAATATAAGTTAGAAAAATACATAGTTATGATTGAAATTTGTAAAATTTTTGATCAAGAATGGTTACAGATAGTTAATTTACCGAAATGTAGTATTTAGACCAACAACCAAACTCAACAAATTAGCATGATGTAATATGTATCCAACATAATAACGAATTGTATTAACTTATTCTTTAGTCTTTCGTACCCATGACCTACACTTTTGTTACATTATTCACCATTGAATACGCACCACTATTCTTAAGGTGGAGTTCAGTATGAACCATCATTCTTTCAAAAATTTACGTTATGTTTTATATTTTTCTAAATAGCAAGTTCACAAGCCTACTACTTGTTCCAGATGTCTGCAGACCAACGTCTGGCCCAAGGGCAAAAACACTGACACTGATGACGTCACGGTGACGCTCGAGCCATGGAGGAAGAAGAAGATGAGGAGTTCTCTTAGCTCAGTGCGAACCATGAGGAAATCCAAGCACAAATCTCGCAATACAGAAAGCAATAGAAGGACGTGCATATGTGGTTGTGTGTTAGTGTTTGTGTGTGTTGTGTTCAGTGTGGTGGGGGTGGACGCCAAAGCGGTGGGTACAGGCGGGGAGGTTTATGGGGATCCTGCCCCTGGTAGGTCACCAGGACCACCTTGGATAGGTGGAGGGACTAACGAAACCAAAAGTTTGGACCTCGAAGCAGTTCACCTACTATCAGCTGTAACCGATGTGACCAGAGCACGAAGGTCGGCCGGAGATGTCGCCAGTGTCATCATGGAAGACTCGACAGACGCGCCTTGGTGCGAGGATTACTCGGAAACATTAAGGTTCGTCCGAGGATTGGAGGAAATCTATCTCAATTTGACTCACCCACTGTTCGACCCAACGAGTGGTATACTACCTGGAGTCACTTATGAAGGTGAGTAAGATATTGTAGTATTGTGGTTTATTATACTAATAGAATAAGCTGTAAGTCACCTTTCGTGAAATGAATGTGAATTTTTCATGAGTAAACAAACAGCTGAACTCAAAACATATCAACAATATTAATGAATATTAAACGTGTGACAATAAACTACCAGATAGTTCACTGCATATATGAATGCTGTGTATTATCTAAGAATTTTTAATTATGCGTGAAAGTACTTTTCCGTTCAAACATCCCAGGAATATGCTTTGGGACACGAATTTACGCTATTTTTTCTACATATCTAAACTCAATTTGTGTACTGTGTGGCCCAGGTCATTTCCTTTGTTGCAAAATTCAGAATCATGCCCTTCGGCACATCATGTAATGAAATTAAGTGATATTTTATTTCCCATTAAAAACTCCATACAATACGTAGTATTTTTTTACACGTAATGAATAGCACAAATATCCTCACCATTTAAAAATAAACAAATATATATACACTTAAAAAATATCCGACACAAAATAAAAAAAAACCTAGAAGATTATTAGAAACCCCTCTACTTGGCTTGTGTGAAGTCAAGAGGTACAGGTATTGAAATGGGAAGAAGATTAATTATTCTGATGTTGGTTTGTTGAATATTTAATCTTGTCTTACTTGGAGCTGGTGTATTATATTGTTATGGACTAAAAAACACTAGGGCCATTCATACAAATTATGAATAAGATTGAGGGCACAAAGTGTCCTTCTTACACAGTGTGTCAGTGTGTATTGCTTAATGTTTATGTACAATTTGTATATTTAACCTATACTAAATGCTACAGATGACTTTGTTGTTAGGCCAATACATGGGAAGTCTAGTATTATCAAAGATAAATTTTGGGAAGTATATACACCTTTTGTAATTTTTTGAGCATATTACCTAAAAATAAACTCATAACGATTTATCATTGCACTATTTTAGGCGTCAGCAAAAAACTGTATATTTAATAAACTGTAATATTTAATTAACTGAAATATTAATATTTTGATATGGTTATAAAACTATTATGTATATACAGGGTTAGTAAAAAGTGTGGAGACCCCCTGTTATTTTTTTAACGGCCCATACTAGAAAAACTAAACTCGGCACACCATTATGGCATGTTATGAAGTACTTTTTGGGCATAGCCGCCACTTGCTGTTCATCCCCAAAATGGGGGATTTTGGGAGAAACTAAAAAATTTCAAATACAAAGACCCATCGAGTGAACCCTCATTTTGAAGGTCCTGGTAAAAGAAAACCAACAACGCAATTTAGAGGTCTCTATCTCAGTTCAGTACAAAATGGCAGCCGATTGAAATTCTCATAAGTTCCCAAACCCAAAATGGGGGATTTTGGGGGAAACTCAAAACTTTTTATGATAAGCCCCATCGAGTGACCCCTCATTTTGAAGGTCATAATAAAAGAAAACTAACAACACAAATTATAGGTCTCCATCTTAACACAGTAAAATATGGCAGCCAATTCAATATAAAATTGCAAGTTATTTCCGATTTTAAAGATTTCAATCATCTTCCATTTTTTACTGGATTGAGATAGAAACCTCTAGTTTGCGTTGTTAGTTTTCTTTTACCAGGACCTTCAAAATGAGAGGTCACTTGATGGGGCTTATCATTAAAAACTTTTGAGTTTCCCCCAAAATCCCCCATTTTGGGTTTGGTAAGCAAGTGGCTATTAGGCTTAAAAAGTACTTCATAACATGCCAAAAAGGTGTGTAGAGTTTAGTTTTCCTAGTGTGAGCCGCTACAAAATTTACAGGGGGTCTCCAGACTTGGAAAGCTGCAAGTTAAATTCAACTTCTGAGAATTTTAATTGGCTGCCATTTTTTACTGAATTGAGATAAAGACCTCTAGTTTGCGTTTTTGGTTTTCTTTTACCAGGACCTTCAAAATGAGGGGTCACTCGATAGGTCTTTGTGTTTGAAATTTTTGAGTTTCCCCCAAAATCCCCCATTTTGGGGATGTACACCAAGTGACGATTATGCCCAAAAAGTACTTTATAACATGCCATAAAGGTGTGCCGAGTTTAGTTTTTCTAGTATGGGCCGTTAAAAAAATAACAGGGGGTCTCCACACTTTTTACTAACCCTGTATAAAGACATTAATATATGTCTTTAATTATATTAATAGAGGAAATGCACATTAATTTTACACTTGCAGAAATTTCATTATCAAGAAACTTGGGTGGTATATAAGACTGTAGAAGACATAAAGCTCAGAAAAGTGGAGCAATAACTAATTAGCGATGGGAAGATTATTCCAAGAGCAAGGAATTATTGTAGTTAGAACTGCATTTTGGAGTGAATTATAATACATCATAAATCAAGATAATGTTTAGATGAGACATCACAGAAGCAATTAAGGGGTATTACGGAACCTTTAACAACTAAAGGTCATTTGTAACTGTTATGATCCACCGAAATAATGTAATTAGTCGTATGACTCTAAATGTTCCCCCTGGCTCTAAATAGTTTTATTCTATTTGATACATTCTTATAAACTATTTTACTCTATATAATAATTTAAATTTTTTATTTACGAATTATAATTTCTTTGTTTATTTTTTACAAGAAAAAATTAAGATACTGTATCAAAATTGGCAACTAAATAGACTTTATGTTTACTTTTATGTATATATTTTTAGATAAGATCCCAAAAAACCTTTATACAAATTAAAAAATTAAATGGACTAACTATTATCTGTATATAATCTGTTGAATAGTATTCTTGCTACCTTTTCGCAGGAGATGCGAACCATATTAAACATTGAACATGTTTTGTTTCTACCCAAATACTATTTTATTGCACTGTTTTATTGAGAATATAATTCAATTTCTGATGAAAACGTAATTTTTCGTGAGGGGTGTATTTAACGCTTTCTCTTTCATTACGGAAGCTTAAATTAACGTAATTTTTATCAACAGGTCTAAATAGTGCTATTTTAAGTGGTTATTCACTTTACTCTACTATATTTTTATCTACTATTTCTTTGCTCTTCTTTTTTTTATTCTTAGTTATGTATTTGCGCTCTGGTTTGTGCTTTTCTACTTCTACTTACACTACCTAGGTTACTCTACTATCTCTTTGTACACTACTACTTACAAAGTAGTAGTCATGTATGTATTCAAGTCTTTTGTTTCATCTGTTGGTCCTCTGTCACTTCTTTGTACTCTTATCCTTCTCTTACTCTACTACTTTGTAATCTACTACTTCTCTGTCTTCCAGTGCTGCTGACGGTCGGTGCTGATGTAAGAGACTTCTCGCTTGTGTCGCTAGCAGGAGGAGGCAGTACCAGGGAAGAGCTCAGTAGAGAGGAATGCCTCAGGCCACTGGCCCATCGGCCTGAGGCTAACCATATCAGCCTGAACTGGACGTTACCAGCTCACCAGCGGCCGTTGGCCAATGCTACTTTCAGGTGAGAAATGTCTGTTCAAGTGTATGTCGTCCTAGGTTTGTTAAACGCCTAAGCATGGTATATCCAGCTGTCCTTGGTAATTGGACAATCGTACGAACCAATGGAACAACTTGTCTCAGTAAAACCCATCCCAATTCATACTATATTCATCAGTCACCCACATTTTGGTCTGTATCCTCATGTCAATTAATAATAGAAATGAAATCCGTAATGGCTCCTAAAAATCTTCAAACTAATTTAGGCTGATTCTCTTGTGTCAATCAATCTTTGATTGTTAACTAGTGCAGTTTTGCCAAAACTTTATCATGATCAGCTGGTACAACGCAAAAAGAATAACAATTCTTCTTCTTCTTCTAGGTGGGAGCAGTGGGAGTCTTTAATATATAAGTCTAATACAGGTTCATGGAAATAATCGATCTGCTAACTAAACTCATATTGAACTATTACATATACTAAAAAACATAAACATTCACTAACCGAGTTAAAAAACACCTTTTAACAACAAAAATATTAATTTTTATCGCATACTGCTTTATAGTATTAATTAAATTAAATTTCAAAACTAATGCAAGTGTAAATGTACAACTCAAAAAATATACAGACATTTTTTTACGTGGGGTAAAAGCCTTTGTCAAAAAGCAATCATCACTAAAAGCTACAATACGTTACAAATCCTGCTTGCGTTGAAATTGAAAACAAACCTTGAAACTTTGAAGATCTCGTAAGATAAATTAAACGCTGCTGATGGGGTAAATCTGTCGAGCAGTTTCTCGCTCCATTATCCAAGTTTCGATATCAAATGTCTCACTGATTGATGTAAAGGTTTGTCCGTTATATTTCTGCTTTAATAGCTGTCTGTTAGTAACACTTATTGAAAATTTTAAACTGAACACTTTTACTTGTTTACTATATAAATATGAAAAACGTGAATATTCGTTTTTGATCAGTCGTTGATTAATTAATTTGCATTATCATTACATGTCTCAATAAAATACGTAAATATTTATGAGGTATAATTTAAGTACTTACTTAGATTTTGTCTGCGTTATCAATAGTTTTCTTTATAGGTTATTTTTAACACTCAATTGTAATGCATTGATACCTTGTAATCCTATAGCAAACCATACATAGAACGAATTCTAGTATACTAGGATAAACATTGAATTACTGTTAATACTGTTAATACTATTCGATGAAATGGCGACCATACATAGTAGGTATTTTAAGCCAAGTATGAATGGAGATGAGTGTAGGATGAGGCGAATATTAAAAGATATTCTTAGACAATCATAAAGATTGAATAATAATAATAAAGACAATTTGATTTTTTTTTCAAAAGATCATGTTCATTCAAAACGAATGTTTCGTAGCTAATGAGTAGTTCGATACGGGTTAATTTTAACACAGACATTTTATAATAAAATTTGTGTGAAAAAGCAATACTAAACGCATAGGTTCATATTTTTATTTGCTTAATAACTTGTTGTAACAGTATTTTAATAATTCTTTTGATGATCATAAAACCTTGGCCAGTCAACCCCACAGGTTGACATAAATGACCCCATGCGGGGTTGGTTAGTTGAGCTAATATATCGAATTACCAATTACTATGCCCCAAGTCACACCTCCCTTTATCTATCTGAATGTTTCATTTCCCCCCTTTATTTTTGCAAAAAAGTACTTATTCAGTCAATCACATAACTAGTAGCACATAATGTCTCTATATTAGATTGGGTTTCGAACCTATATGAACCCACATTGTTCATTGCCCAAACATTAGGTGGCCATACATTTTCATGTATCGTAAGGGTTTTAACCAGTGAGAGATATTCATTTCAGTTCATGCTGTAGACATTCTTAATTACTAGCGCAAGGTTGTCTCTAAAAGTAAATAAAATAATATCTCGTCTACACAGAACCGACTCTAGGATGCTACTCATTGAAGTATAGCTTCTCCATGGTATAAAGAGCAACCGACAATCATTGACCATGTTAATCAGAGCCGGAAACTCGCAACATTGCTACATTACGGATTACTGTTCTCCATTTTAACCTCTACCGTTAAACTATTCGCACAACGGTCTTTGTGCAAATATATTTTTTTTATCGTGCTGTACATAGTCGCTGCGTTTTAGTGTTTAAAAATAAAATCAAAAATATATAATCATTAGATAAAACACTTAAAATATAAAACACTTTAAAAATAAACTACTGACAATTTGAAAAGTATAAAAGTATACAGTATAAAAGTATAAGGCAATAAAATTGAAAGGGATAAAAGTTTCTCCTTCGAGCCGGATTTGAACCAGCGACCTATGGATGTCTTTGTTGAAAACCTCTACAGTCCACCGCTCTACCAACTGAGCTATCGAAGGAACTGAATGCAGACCGGTTACTTTTACTTTCTAACTGAGAAAAAGTAACAGTAGCAGCTGGTCACCAAGGTTATCAATACCAGCTGGGCGTTGGCTCCCAAAATATTCGTTTAGTAAATATTCATCTTTTCTCATCAATGCCCAATTACCAGTGCAAAAGGCTTAGGCACCCGAATGAATGTTTAGGCACTAGCATAGAATGATTTTGTAGTACTTTGAAGCTATCTCGATCCTGAAAAGACTACCAGAAGGAAAACCAATAACCTGAAGAAGAAGATTCTGTCAGATTAAAATGCAGTTCTAGATAAACTGATGCCTGTTTAACAGCTGGGTAGAATATTCACAATGTTCGTATTTTGGTAATTAAACGACATTCTCACCACATCTTTTGAGTAGACAGTGGCTACTTCAATAAAATCTTCACGATAGAACTCATACTGTAATGCAACTAAATAGCGCCCACAAAAAACACCTTAATCTATATCAACTGAATACACTTATGAACTATATATAATAGATTATATTTTGAGGAACATGTTTAATGATACCCTAAAATTTGTAATAAGGCTTATTACTGCTTTCGTAATATGTATATGAATACAATGAACAACAAATAAAAAATATATTTACTTTGTTTCGTTTTGCACCAGTTTTATAGGTACATTAAACCAAAATCATAAAAACAATTATAATAATATTATATTTGGTTAGTTTGAAGCGAGACCCGCTTAACAGCGACATTAAACCATAAGTGTTATTACGCCAATCGCCATTACTCCAGCTTATGGCAGTTATCGCGCTAAAACATTGTTTATGGCCCCAACACTGCTGCCTGCTAACTATACAGTTAACCTTTGTTGTAACATTGCATCATCTGTAGTTAAAATTCGGCTTTCAACTTTGTGTAATTACTATTAAGCTCAATAATAATATTGATAAAGGAGAAAATTGTATAAGGAACATTGAATATAGGCTATTAAAAATCATCAAATTAAAATCATCTATAGCCGACGATATCTACAGATTGCACTCACAATTAACTAATGTTGAACTTATGTTGACTTTAAGTTGAACGCAGTCACCTTTAGAGGCTGACCAGGTTTTATTCTAGGTACACCTTTAATGGATGCTTCACGTTAATGTCAAAACTAGTTTTCCACTGTAGATATGCAAGTGTTTCTCAAAAGACTATATTAAGATCATGAAGAATCAATTAATTAGAAAAATTACCTTAGATAGAGGTACATCTGAGCCCATAATTTAGAGTAAATTATTTTACGTCCTGAAGTATATTGCTCTAACATTCGAAAAAGCAGTTGTATATCAAATCAAAATAAGAGTTAATCCCTTATCTCTACTCGACATGTCCCAATTCTGAATAAATAAATCCTTTGAACAAACCAACCAATAGAATTGGTTGATTAAGATTATTTATAAAGACGCAATCTATGAATATTATACTAATATTTTTCATAACAGATAGATTTTGTTTGAGCATTCTCAAATTAGGTCTAAACTTAAATTTATTTTAAATAAAATAATACTTGTTTTGTCATTTAAATAATAGATATTTAAATGTTTTGTGTGCAAATAAATCACTGCACTTTTTGGTTCAATTCAGAATAATATTTTAAGTGAGTTCATAAAATAAAATTGTATTAAGTTAAGCCAGACAGAGAGAGAGAGAGAGAGATAGGCAGACAATGCAGAGGAATGTGCTGCGTATCCTGCTTATCAGTTCCAGCCGACATGATATAGACTGACCAGTGGTTTTTCCTGTACACTTCTCCAACTCACTCAGTTACTATGCAGTCTTCATGTGAATCAAACATTATGAGGGTCTCTGAATCCCTCTAATTATTTTACCATGGGTCTCAGTATCCCATATTAAATCATCAATTATTGACTCTATTGTTTCAACAGAAGTTTTATTTAACCGTGAGGAACATTCACCAGAAGTTTGTGTGCACACAGTGTTATATTTTATTTTCTCAAGAAGTGTTAATCTCCATTACTTGGTATTAACGAACATTCATTAATTTCTTCTCTTCGAGGTCGTGAGTACATCTCTACACATCATTCCTCTCTGTCTATTCCAATTTGGACTTAAATATCTCATCAAGAGAATAGTTTTGATTTGATTTGTAAAGGGTTAATTTAATTTTGTATCATTATAATATTTTCTGAACTCAAATGAATTTATTATTTTTCCAGTAGGTAGTAACTCACTGTTTAGACAGATCAATAAACTTGATTTCTACTATATTAACAAATATCTATTGAACCAGCAATTATTCAGTTTGGTAGCAAAGTCAGGAATTTAATTTTTTAATTCCCCTTTGTTCAAACACATTGGTCCTTCGAGCCGGATTAACTTAGTCATTTGTTAATAAATAAAAAATTGTAAATTAAAATATCCTTTCAAAGAAACATATTTAAGGTCATTTTTAAATTGTCAAAGTAAGGTTAATTGTATTTGAAGGTTATTGTAGATTACAGTTGAGAATTTGTTTGTTTAAAGGTAGTTATCATATAAAATATTTGGTATTCATTTGATCTTTGATTAAATTAGATATTTAATCGTAAAACGCTCATACATTTCTCCAGAATTGGATTTGTGGTTTA